TGTGTTCGATCCTAGCTTCGTGCAAGGATTGATTTTGTGTTTTGATAGTTTAAGTTTCAGAATGATATAATGGGAATTTATATTCTCGATTTCGTTCTGGTTCAAGATTAAAGCTTAAACCAATTCAGAATAAACTTTATCATTTCTTCGTCAAACACAATCCTACGTACGATTGCATAATTTTTTCAAACTTGTAATAACTGATAATGCCGATTGTGATAATTTACCAGATTTGCCTAATTCAGATACACCTGTTTCAACAAATTTTTTATACAATTCCGTTTGTAAAGGCATTAGACGACAACACAAAACTTGTTCAACTAAAGAAAAACACAAAAGTTAGAAGAATATTTATTAGAAAAGTAAGATCATTTCTTACTTTTGACTGGTAAATATTTTGTTAACAATATTTGTGTACGACGAATAATACAACGATTAACAAGTGTAGCTAATTCTTGTAATTTTTCTTGAGCTAAACTATGTTCAACATCCGATGCATTTGCATCACGACCACGGCGTATAGGATTTTCAAATCGTTTACGAAATTCAGCTGCCGTACCTATTAAACATTGAGAGTAGTTAACAGGGAGCAACGATTTCTCTTTTTGTTAAATTTACCTAATATTCCACCATTAACAAAATGAATTAAACTAAAATATTCCAGTAAATCATTTTGAATTGGTGTGCCAGATAATAAAACACGTCGTTTACAATCAAGTTTGAATAGTGCATCATATGTTTGATTTTCCGCATTTTTCAATCGATGTCCCTATAAAGGATCGAAAAAAATTATTATTTATCCACACTCACGATGTAACTTCCCCAAGTGTGAAATAGCTTTGAGCTGAAACCTAGTGAGTTATAGGTAATCGACGGTGCTGAGTCGGAATATCACTATGCCGTTTGCTTCTAGGCCTTCAAAGACTCGTTTTCTGGAAAAACACTTTTTCAGAAACTCTAAAAAGTAACTAAAACCTTTCTTAATCCGGGATGATTGTAGACCGCAAATTTTTTGATTAAAATGAGACATCTCCCAGCTCTACACGACCTTTCTTTGCAAAGTTATACAATTTACAACAAAAGGCCTAAATGTTCATTGTCCGCTCAAAGCTATAGAAATAAGAAGAAATAAATTTAGGGCTTTTCTTGTAAATTGTATAACTTTGCAAATAAAGGTCGTGTATAGCTGTGAGATGTCTCGTTTTAAAATTTGCGGTCTGCAATTATGCCTCATTAAGAAAGGTTTTTGGTTACTTTTTAGAGTTTCTGAAAAAGTGATCGTTGAAGGCCTAGAGGCAAATGGCATAGTGATATTCCGACTCAGCACCGTCGATTATCTATAATCCACTAGGTTTCAGCTCAAAAACTATTTCACACTTGGCAAAGTTATCTCATCAGATATTTAGGATGTGTGAAAACTGATATTCTTACTTCATCACAGATAATAAGACCGACCGATCCTTTATGCAAAACGTTGATGTGTGCACGAAACGTTTCATATGATATTATTAAAACGGGATTTGCACTTCGACGTCCTTGATGTAACATAAATTGTTCTAAATAATCCAAAAAGAATCAAGTTTTTTATTTTACCAAACTTTATATTTTTCAGACATAACAATGACGGATTTAGGGAAGTAGCAGTACTGGCGGAAAATTTTGATTCCATAGTATCTTGCCCATAGAAACTTATCATATCCCATATGCAAAGTTTTCTGGCCTGTGTTTTCTTTTTCAAGTCAGCCAGAACCGAAAAATTTTTCCTAAATCCATCACTGGGATATAACATACTTACTTAGTTTATGTTCAATTTCAGCTTTTGTGCCAGAATCGATTGTTAATGCTGATAATCGTCCATGCAACCATTTAGCTATTTCTTTATCCCAGTTCTAAACAAAAGACAAGAGCTATAGAACATAGATGATAGATATGAAATATTAACTTACTTTAACTAAACTACTGGGTGTGACAATAATGGCTTTTGTTATCATTGGTTTGCAATCTGGACTTTGAGTCTGTGTGTTATAAAAAGCATCGTATCAAATAATGAAAAAGAAAAATATCGCATATGTACCAGTAACGTCCATAATAATGTAATACATTGCAGAGTTTTTCCCAAACCCTAGAGAAAGTAACACAATAAATACAATCAATTTTTAGTTTGATAAACAAAAAATTTTTCCTACCATTTCATCAGCCATTATACAGCCAAAGTTGTCTGGAATTTGTACACCAGTGACAGAATCGTATAAAAATTTGACACCCTACAAATTTTACAGATGTTTTTCACAACCTTCCTTTTTTTTAAATTCTTCAGTTTTACTTACTTCTCGTTGATGTGGTCGTAATAATTTTGATAAAATCGGATCGACAACAACGTGCACTTGAACTTTTTCTCTAAAAAAAAAATTAACAGTATCAATAAATATTATAAATAAAAAGACAGATATCAACGTACAGATCAACTTTTAATTTTTCTTCGGCACTCATTTCTGGTGGTGCATATAGAATAAGTGCATTTTCTTCATCAGGATCATGTAATGATTGTCGACCACCTTGTCGTCGTACACCTAGTCCTCTTCCGCCAAGTGGACCTGAACATTAATTAAACAAAAACAACTAGTATCTACTTTTCACTAGATGAATGTAAACAAACCTTTATAATTTGGTATTGGTATTTTGAATGGTCGCGCCAACAACATTCGAATAAAAAATTCCTAGACAAAAGAGTACACATATTACATATCATAAACATTCCTTTTTCGATTTTAAAATACGTACATGATCACTGACACTTTCGGATACTACGTTTGGTGTGAACGATATTTTTTCATTTGTTATAGGCATGAGTGCTTTTCGAAATGGATTTAAAAATTGACTGGTGTCATAACCTTTATTGGATATATTGGCATTTTTTGATGGTTTCTAGGAGAAGAAAATATAAAGTTTTTTTCTAAATGAATATTTAATCACAAACAAGTCAAAACTAACCCTCATTTTTGGTTCTTTTCGTTTTCGTTTTTTTGATTTACCATCATCTTCACCATACTAAAAAGGTTTTAATATGATGTAAATCGGTGATATAGTTAAGTTAGATGATTTTTAGATCAAAATTAATAAAATGAGCTTACATCGTCATTATCTTCATTTTCAGCATAATCAATATCATCTGCGTCATCATCCGATCGACTGTTTCGTGTACTATTCAATTGTTTGACAACGGTACTTGGTGCTAAACTTCGACGCTAGTATGAAATAATAAATTGAATTAATGTTAGTTCAGTTACCATTATTTGTAACCTACCATTTTTTTTTCCTTTTGATTGCAGCAAGTTCGAGCCGCAGAAAAAGAGATAAATGAAGACTTGATCTGAAAGAGGTACGAATAGTTCAGACAAATTGGTTCAAATATTTGTTTTGATATGAGGAGTTACAAACAGTACTATAACTAGTTTTCAAAAAGAGCTAAGGTCGCCTATTGTATCCATAATAAGTACAATTATGAAAAACACCTAAAAAATATTTTTCATTCATTCCACTCGAGGGTTAAAGAACAAAGACTAATTTACCAAAGAAAGTGGATGAAACTTTCCCCTAACAAAGTAAGTAAAGTGTTAGATTTCTTCTAAAATTCATTCAACAGTGAGCTTTTAGTTAAAATATTCTGCATAAATTTTGAGTATTCACCCAGAGCAATCATCTTGCTACTGGTTATCACTATGCGATCATCAATCCGCACTCACATAATTGTCAATCTCTCTTTTTCTCTTCTCTCGTCTGTCATGTTCCGTTCTTTTCTTTTCCCAGAACAAAGACGGCAACAGACTAGACAAAGTAAGTGAAACTGACTGGTGCACTTCAAATTGTTCGTAGAAGATCACATAATCAAATGGACATAAAAAAATAAAGTATTTTTTGAAATATTTCAAAATATTTTACGCTCCAGTTCAAGACATGCATGCATTAGTCTGAGAGAATCGTTTAATCTGAGAGGTTTTATAACATTAATTCATTGGTTCATAACTACGAATGTTTTCTTTGAAGAAACAGCAGGCCAAAATAAAACTGACAAAAAAAAATCTATTCATAACAAATAAAAGTCACATTAAATACGTTGATGCAAACGTCCCATTATTCTTCTTAAATTCAATGTCTTTTGACATAAATAATAAATTACGGGTTAATGTAAAACTGGAATAGGATTTTTAGCAGAATTTTGTTGTTGGTTGATTTTTTGTAGTGAATGTAAGGGTACAGAATGATTCTTGTGCTCTCACTTTTCGTGAATCAATTTATTCATTCATGAATCTGTACAGTTTCAATTAAATTCGATTATTATATACTATTACTCGGGATTGATCGTTCATTATATTAAAAAAGTTTTTTTCATTATATAGATCTTGTGTAGATAATCCAACATTGTTACGATTTAGAGCCAACAGGTGAATAAAAATAGATCTTTTTACAGTAGCAGTCATTTATTTAATAATTTAACTTAAACTTATCTTGACGTTTCGACTCTTATTTTTCATGAAGAGTCGAAACGTCAAGATAAGTTTAAGTTAAATTATTAAATAAATGACTGCTACTGTAAAAAGATCTATTTTTTGTTCTTTAATCCAACAATTCATTCTGATTTTATCTGACGTTTTCTTTTTTTATGTAATTGAATTTTGTTTAACTTCTCGTCGGATTCACCAAATGTGGTCGTGATTATACATTTATAAGTCTAAGACTAAGACTTTTATTCATGAAAAGTGAGAGTCATCAAAGGTCAACAACAATGACTCAAGCTAAACAACACCAAAAGAGTAATAAAAAATAACAAAATAAAGAAGACAACTAAAGTTAGAAAACCAGAAGAAGTAGAAACAATTTTCTTTTTAAAAAAAATAACAAATATAAATTCTTAACTGACAAACGTTTCACTAGAAGAGATACTGAAACAAAGCTGTTTTGAAAGATAGAAAGATGAATAACTGATATATACACTTGTTTACTTAATTTCATTTTACTTTTTGGTTCATGGCATGTTCGGGCTAAGAAAGAAAAATGCATTACACATTTTTTTTTTGAAGTTGCTTGTCATTTCGGTATTCAAATTTTTAGGAAAGATTCTTGTGTTAAACGGGATATCACTAACTCTAGTTTCAGATAATATATACACAGCATGTTTCAAACATGTTTCAATCTTTTTCTATATCAAAGACGTTAGTTATTCTTACTACAAAACTGTTAAAGCAACAACAAGTGAAATGTATTCGTTTTCAATCTTCATCCAAACCACCTAAAGTTAATCCTGGTTATATTTGCTTTATACGTGATACAAAAGCATTATATGGTTCATCAAAATTAGTAGAACAAGAACGTTATGCTGTAGATAAAAATAATCATTTTTTTAAAGATAATAAGGAAAAAGAAGTATTTGATGATGAAACAAAACTTCTGATATCAATGAGTCCATTAAATCCTCCAGCAACGCCACCAAGAGGCGTATCAATTTCTCAAAAACGACGTTATTTAAGTCAATTATGCCGAGTACCAAGAGGATTAAAATTAAGTTGGTTTCCCGACGGATATACGAGTACAAAATTATCTGAAGGAAGAAAACGGGTATTATCAAACAGGAAAAATATCTTAAAAAACTAATACAAGTGTATCTGTGAAGAAAGATTTCTTTTAAAGCTTGATCTTATTCTATAGATAGAAGTAGTCACTAGTCAATATCATAGGACTTAATTTTTGTCTGATATAATTCTTGTTTTACAAATCAGAGCTTAGGTTTGACACTAATGAAAGATATTTTCCTATTAAACTACGGCGTTTTGATGACTTTTTCTTTTTTTGACCTCTATCTTGTAGATTTCTTAAACGTTTGTTCATATATCGAGTCTCTTTACTTTTGTTATGTTGTATTGATAAACTCTGTATGAAACAAACGTAATGATCACTCGAAATTATATAACTTTAAAGAAGTTGTTTTTGATACTTTAGGAAAGAAGATTAGCCTGTAGTAGTATGTCGGTTATGAATGGACAGTAGTAACCTATCTATTACACTCTTTATCACTTCATAGGTCTTATTTGTTAAAAATCTAGCGAATTATCATCACAAAACGGTGAAAGTAATGAATTAAGACCATATAACCTTGACCTTAAGATAAACTTTTAGTAAGAGATATGGTATACACTCATGAAGTAGTCACATACTTGTTGACTTGGAAAGAGTATATATTACATATATTTGTTTTCTCAATCATTCCATTCTCTACTTATTAATTTGAATTATGTCTGTACATTTTTAGATCATGATTTTTTGAAGAAAATAAATATAATATGACAACTGTTTTGCTAACTGCTTCACCATTATTCTCTGTTACAACTCGTTCATCGACGATACGCTCACATTCGACTGATCGTTCAAATACATCCTCTAATAGTTATCTTGTCACTTCTCGTTCATGTCGTTCTTTAACAACAGTTCCGTTCTATCATCAACAACAACATAATCAATGCGTGTCATCATCTAGTTCATCTTCTCTTACACAATCATCTTTCTCACTTTGCAGTTCATCATCAAAACAAATTGAAATAAATTGCCAAAATACATCAATAACAAAACAACATTTTCAAAAATCAAATTCACTTGATTCCGGTTATAAAACATTAAATACACCTAATACATTATCTTATACAAATGATACATCAATTGTAACAGTAGATGAAGAAAATATTAATAACAACACTTTTCAAAAATTAAATTCATCATCGTGTTCATCTCCATTAAGCATTAATGAACAAGAAAATCAGTTGAGACCAACTGAATTTCTAGTAGATGATGATAATATAAGCATCGACAATCACTCATCAATAGATTTAAAAACAAATGATTTAAAAGTAAAATATGGTAAGGTATTGTGAATACTTAGTCTTTGAGTTCTGTTCTATCAACTATATAAATATTTAGGTCTGATCAAAAGTTCTAAGAACATTAAATAAAAATATAAAGATGCAGAGATATTTTTAATTTTATTTTATCAAATGTGCTGAGAATAGTTGCCGCTATCATCCATATCAAGTTCGATCCTTTCTAACAACTTATTGAAAGTTTTTTTTCTGAATTCTTTTTCGAAAAAATTTTTAGGTATCTTGAATATCACATATAATTATCATATTTCATTAGTTTTGGTATATTCTTTATATCAAATAGTCTTCAGTGTAGATAAAGGCAAGACTGTAGGTCACAAGTATTATATTAGAAATTGTCCGAAGCCTTTTGTTAATGAAATATGGGAATAAACAGAAATATCAGCTTCAAAATGTACAAAATTGCTTGATGATGATCATTGACTTGATATTCATCCAATGTTATTCTTTATATGACAAAAGAAGGTATCAATAGAATGTCATATCCACCGTATTCGTCAGACCTGATACTATGTAATTTATGGCTAACCAATTCTACTTAACGTAGTTTAACTGATTAAATGAATGAAACATGTAATATCCAAGATGCCGAAAAATTTTTTCGAAAAAAGAGTTCAAAAAAACTTTTAACAACATGTTAGAAAGGATCAAACTTGATATAAATAACAATGGCAACTATCCTCAACATTTAATAATATACAAATTAAAAATATCTCTGCATCTTTATATTTTTATTCAATGTTCTTAGAACTTTTGGTCAGACCTAAGTATGATTTCGTTTCTGTTCCGTTTTTATTCTTTAGTGTATTTCCTATTTTCTTGAATAATTTTAGCCGTCTTTTTTTACAGTTTTTTATCTTTTGAACACCATACAGTTTTGTAAAAACTTCCTAGGAAAGAAAATTTGAAGTATAAAATTTATATAAGAGAATTTTTATGGTTTCCAGAGAGGGGGAGGAGGTTGTCAGTAGCTGTAACCACAATTTTCGGTAACTGTTAAACTTTTGGAGTGAAATTGTGATCGATCAAATTTCAATATAAATTTAGTGTTTACAGCTACTGAATGGACTAGTAAAAGATAGTGAATTATTGATCTGATGTTGTTAGACACAAGTTTTAAAAAGTATCACCATATCTTCATATGATCAGAAAAAAAGCTATTAAATAGAAGTTTCTCTCTCGCGCTACTCTTCTTATTTATACATCTTTTATGTTATAGTCCAACAGTTCAATAGAAAGTTTTCACATTTTTGCTTTCTAGAAGCAACGCTGACTTATTACCAGAAATGATGTACGATTTTTCTAAAGAATTCATAGAATTTTTTGTTAATGAAACACGGTACTTAAGAGAAAAGTTTTTCTTGATCTAAAAAATTCTCTATTTTTATTCGCAGTATTGTCATGGAGTTGAGATTTGTTCATTTTTGTTTTATTCTATCGTTTTTTTAGAACATCCACGATTAGCGATCGCTGATACACAATTATTGGCTCCATCCTTTCATTCACGCACTGCCAGTTTATCAAATTATTCAATCTCAAATTATAGTGTTCTGTTAAATGAATTTTGTTGTATTGAAACGCCACAATCTGAAAATAAATTACCTATCGAACAAAATAGTTCTAAACCAGATAACGAAAAAAATAATAAAAAGAAAGGTTTCATAGCGACATTTTTTTCATCAAAGAAAAAAGATGAACTAACAATTAACAATAGTAATCAAGAGCAGAAAACTATTCCAACAACATCTGCCACTTCTATTACGACAATATTGACAAAAAAGCAGCAAAGATCTAGAAGTGCATCTGAAACACCAATCGAACAAACAATAACGAGGTAAATTTTGAATATTTTGGTATCATCTATTTGAATAAAACAAAAACAAATGTCTCATTTATCTAATGTCTAATCCATCTGTGTTTTTAGTCTAACGCATCCACCATTAACAAATGACGATCAATACAAATCTCAACTGACTCCGTCTCGTTCTTCTATTACAGCAACATTATCATCAGCTGTACCAAGTTTTTTCTTACCATCGAAAAAAGAAAATACAAAAAAATCATTATCAGTTGAAGAATCACATTCAGTTTCGTTAAATGAAAAAGTACCAATAGAACAAATACAAGAATCAGAAACAGATTCAGTAGCATCGTCTCCATCAATGACAACGATGATTCATACAATAAATCCAATCCCACCAGAAGTTACTAAAATATCCACTCAGTCTATCATCCATCAACAACATCAATCTTCCTCAACGTTTGGAACTTCTGCGTTTGGACTGTTGCATCGTCTATCAAATCGATTTACTCCAGGTGGAAAAAATTCATATCAACAATCTCTTCAAGACGTTATCAGTAGTACAGGCCTCATATTTGAAAATCGTCCAGTCAATTTACCTCCTAAATCATTGGAAGAGACTATGAAACATCATAATCAATATCAAAAAATGTGTTTAGAAGCAAAAAAATCTCAACAGTTATACGATGAAAAAGAAGAAAAATCTAGACGATTGAAATTAAAACGTGAAGAATTTGTTTCAACATCGTTAAAAATATGGACAAATGAAATATTACCCTATTGGAAAAAATATGGAATTAAACATGATAAAGAAAATAGTATAAACGTGAAAGCAACAAAATTATGGTGGCACGGACTACCTCCAAGTAAAGAAAGAACGAAAAAAATATGAACCCGTTCTATACGTGTTCATCTGAGATATCAGAACAGCATTACTTCTAGTTTTAGAAATAAAAAAGTTAGTAGAAGCGCATTACAAAAACTTGAGAGCATTTTTTCATGTATGACTGACGAGAGGACCTCGCGAACAGTCACATCGCTTTTTCAGTCAATCCTAATGGGTTATAAGTTATCAACTATGCTGAATCCGAATATCATAGTGGAAGCTGCTCAGAGGTCTTCAAACAGAGCGGTTTTCTGGAAAACTACTTTTTCAGAAACTCTAAAAAGTAGCTAAAACCTTTCTTAATGAGACGTAATTGTAGCCCGCACATTGCTGATTAAAATGAGATATCTCAGCCTTTCTTTGTAAAGTTATACAATTTACAAGAAAAGCCCTTAATGTTCATTGTCAGCTCAAAGCTACAGAAATAAGAAGAAATTAATTTAGGACTTTTATTATAAATTATATAACTTTGCAAAAAAAGGTCGAGATATCTCATTTTAATCAGCAATGTGCGTGCTACAATCATGCCTCATTAAGAAAGGTTTTAGAGTTTCTGAAAAAAGCGGTTTTCCAGAAAACCGTTTTCTAAAGACTCCTGAGCAGCTTCCACTATGATATTCGGATTCAGCATAGTTGATAACCTATAACCCATTAGGATTGACTGAAAAAGCGATGTGACAGTTCGCGAGGTCCTCTCGTGAGTGGTGAAGGCATAGTTAAACAGAGACTGGCGTTTCGATTCATCATAATGTCGAAAGATCACTGTGTATCCTGGGACAGCATGGCTTGACAGTTATGCTGTTCGTCAAGTACTACATACTGTTTTCTGACATACTCGGAAAACAGTTCGAAACATACTGTTTCCGAACCTCGGCGCTAGCAAAGTCATGTAATAACCTTGGGCAAGTTATTTACGTCTTAATGCCTCGGATGTTACCTGTTTGACAGCATACTCTCTACGTTGTGACGTACAATACAACTTCTTCGACTAGTCTTCATAGCTTTCCGGAAAGCTAGTACGTGGTTAGCGAAGTGTGTATGAGAAACTCAAATAATTGGGCAAAGGAACTCTGCGTCAGGCTAGCCTTCTGGTCAGAGCTGTGGTTGATGACTAGTAACGAGATGAGTGACCATTTCAGAAGTTTGTCAACTGCAGGGAAGATATCGGGCTATTGATGCTGCCATTCGACAGCACCCTACATCGGTAATGGTAGCCACAAGGCGGAGTATCCTTTCCTTCCTATATATATCCTTTTGCAACTGTTACTTATTTAGGAATACGTGGGAAAATTTGGAAAATGTCTATTGGAAACGAAATGGCTTTAACACCTGAATTATTTTCTGAATTGGAACTTCTTGCACATGAAAAATTAAATGAAATGAAACATAAAAATATTGAAATTGGAAAGGTAGATGCCAGAAACGATTTATATTATTGCATCATTGATTTGTGTTTTTTCTTCTCTAGAACACACCGTTAAATCAACATGAATATGATTCAATTTCATTGTCATCACGTGGTGAAAGTTTAACAAATTTTATTGAACTTATTCAACTTGATGTCTCTCGTACATTTCCTCAACTTGGTTTATTTCAACAAAATGGTCCTTATCATGATTATTTACAAATACTTTTATGTACATATGTTTATTTATCACCAGAAATTGGCTATGTTCAAGGCCAAGCATTTTTAGCTGCAATGTTTCTATTAAATATGGACTTATACGATTCATTTGTATCATTTTCTAATTTATTACAACGTCCCTATTTTCAAACATTTTATCGTTTTAATAATATTGAAAAATATTTATTACTATTTGAACAATTATTAAACTTTTATTTACCAAATTTAAGTGAACATTTTTCTCGTATGTCAATAAAACCAGATTGTTTTGCATTTGATTGGTTTTTTACCATGTATTCTAAATCATTACCACTTGATATTGTATCACGTATATGGGATATTTATTATCGAGATGGTGATGAATTTGTATTTCGAACAGCTTTAGGAATTCTTGCATTATATGAAAAACGTCTATTAAATATGGATACATTTCATTGTTTACAATTTTTAACAAAATTACCAGAAGATTTAAATACAACACAACTATTTAAATCAATTGAGACAATAAAATTTGATGATTTAACAAAAATAAATGAATATTGTCCACTATTCTATTTAATATCATCAAATAATTAAGAATTTAAAGTAAAAATCCCTGTCAAATGTTCAGATATACTCTGTTTTTTTTTTTATCTGCTTAATTCGATAGGAGATAACGTGTATCTATATGTATATTTGGCAATATAAAAAAGTATAAATATTCTCTTCCTTTATATGTCTTATCTTTCTTCCTTGCTCGAATTCTTTTTATTGCTTATATATTATTAAGTCATTCCAAATCATGTTTTTTTTCTTCTTCTTTTCCTCTAGTCTTGTTTTTGCTACTGCAAGCATTTTGCACTTATATTTATATATAAAAACATTTTGTTTTTTTTTTTTTTACATGCAACCTTTTTTTGTTTTTTTGTGTGTGTATACTTTTCCTCTTTTTTCTGTTAATTCGAAACTCAATCAAAATACATTTTTTTTTATGAACGATGCCAATTTATACTGTTCGTTGCATTTAATTTCTATCGAGCTTAAGTACAAAATGATGTTTTCTGAATTTTTGAAACGGGTTAAACAGTATTTAATTTCAAATAAAAAAAAGCTAAAATACTGTTGTACCATTGTTTGTGAAATTATTTTTTATTTAACTCTATTATTAACTCATCATTGTGCACTTTCTGGTTGTTGTTTTTTTGTCGTGTTGTTATTTGTGTTCTTGTTTTATTGTTCAAACGGATATTCTACGTTTAAACATGACCAAAAACACATTTTGTTTTTTCACTTTTACACAAGACACTGTTTATAAGAAATTGGAATATGTGATAAGAGTTGTTATTTTTGAAGGAGGAAAAGTAAAACTTTGAAAGTCTATTAAAATCTCTAAAAGTTCATCTGATTTGAAGGACCTAAATTAGATATGCATCAGTTAAAAACTTTTGTTAGGGCTTCCACGAGAACTGTTTTAAATCGCTTATAAAGGATTGCTCAGAGTCGCAGAGCGTCTTATTTTGTTGAGAAATGTTTGCTCGTCAAAAGTCAGCTGTGGAAAAAAAAATGTCAAGTTATTTCTAACAAAAAAATGTGAACATTCTAAAATGCACTGAAGTTACTGTTCGAACAATGTTTTTTTCTTGAATTTAGTGCATTTTAGAATGCTCATATTTGTATTACATATAACTTTGAAATTTTTTTTACTTATATAGGATTGTAGCCCAAACATTTGTCTACAAAATGAGATGTTCGGCGACTCTGAGTAATTCTTTATAGGCGATTTATAACAGCTTTTGTAGAAGCCCTAACATCAGTTTTTAAATGGTGCATGCCTAACCTAAGTAGATTTTCTGACTTTTCAAAACTTTGGTACATGAGCCAAATCCGACATAGGTTTATTAAAACTCGAAAAAAAATCTGTTTTATCCTTCCTTGTTTATTGCGTTCTATTGTCATTCTGAATGAATAATTGAAACTCTCCGGCGAGCTTTTTTGTTCCAATTAATTTTTAAACGTTAACCGTTTTGCCATTCAGAATGACAGATTTTGAAGGTACGAAGGTTTCAGCGATTATGTCACAGATAATATTGGCCCAGGTCAAGTAATTCCGCTAGGATCCTACAGGATCTTACTGATAATAGAATTTCACAGGATTCCTATTGTAGGATCCTATGAAATTCTACGACAGGAATTCTGTAGGATTCCTATTTTTTCGTTTATAAAAAGAAAAATTCTTTAGTCTCAAATTTTCACATTGAACACTCGCTACTGTTCGACGATGTGTGAGTCAGTACTCACAAGTCTTAGGCTTATCCTAGCTCGGAATCACCTGATTCTGGCTAGCTGGCATCAGAGAATAATTAAACAAATAAAAACAATAAACCTAGTAGGATAAACCAGCAGAAAATCAGATTAAAAACTCTGCTACAATCCTACAATGGGATCCTGTAGGACCGACCATTGCAAGATCTAACTACAGAATCCTATAAGAATCTTACAGTAGAATTTTGTAGAATGTTTTGGCTATGAGATTTTCCTACAAGATGTTCGTATGATCTTATAAGAATCTTGTAAGATCCTCTGGTAGGATTGTTTAATCTGGAGAATTACTTTTTGATTATATTCGAGTTTCTCCAACTTATGCCCGTATTGATCATGTATTGTGCAATTGCGTTGTGAGAGATTTTATGATCTTCAAACAAATTATTTTTTCATCTTAAAGTCACAGCTGAGCGGTCTGCGTTACAGTATTGTTCTTCAGAAGATGACAAAGGATCTTTCTCAAAGCAATTTGTTTTTAATAAAGTTAGGAGACAGAGCAGTTAATGATTTAAATAATGAGGTAATGAAGTACAGAACTACTATAAACATGATTAACTAAATATTTGACTATGTATAGTTTCAAATTTGACACACTCATTTACACTTTTTTCATTCTGATGATGACAGTGGATTCTGTCGAAATATCAATGAAATAAATACATTATGATTAGTTAATCATGTTTATA